ATGGGGAGATATAGGTTTTTGTTATAATATATATATANTCGAATATTCTTGTTTTAAAAAAATGTGTAAAACAAATTTAGAAAATGAATAAAAGAAACATACATTGCAAAATATTTAAAGCAATCAAATGCAAAGAAAATCTGCAATTATACTAAATTGTAGATCGCATTAATTAACAAAATTAAAATAATTTGTGCAGTTAAGTAAAACAAAAATTAACGTAATGATAAAATTCAAGTTCACTAGACAAGATTACAATTCACCTAATTTTTCTGCAATTAGTGAAAAAAACGCAAGACATCAAGAAAAATTAGTAATTAAAAGTGAATATTTGATTTATAATTTTATAGCGTTTAAAAAATTTATATTTTGCGAATTTAAAAACTTATTTTTTAACATTTCACAATAGTACGCTTAGTTCAATTGCTTATAAAGCTGATCAAACTTGTTGATTTGACTAAAATAATTATTAATATTGTTCTTTTCCCAAAATTATATTTTATTGTTCCTAAGGAGAGAAATAAAATTTTACACACTAAAATAAAAGATGAGTGGGATTTAATATAAGTTCCGCTTTCTTATGGAATGAATATTGATAGATGCGATTAGTGTGCAGTTGAATGCCTTTTTACATAATTAAGTTGTACACTTTAATTATAGTAATATAAAACAATAGAGTCATTGTCTAATGAAAATTATTTTATAAGAGGATCTAAGATAATTTGCTAAAATGGAGAATTCATTGAAAGTCGTTGGATTCTGATCAGTTTTATAAACAATTCTCCTTTTCTGGCATTACAGCCCATTGCGATCCTTGACTTGTTGAATAATGTTTCCCCAAACCTTCCTGTTCTTAGACTTGATTTCTATTTCGTAATTTTCATTATGGATAAATCTTCGTTACATCTCTTAAGCATAATTCTTTGGGTCATCTTAACCCCATATTTCATTAAATTTTTCATATGGAGCAGCAATGCCAAGTATGTCAATTTTATGTATTTAGTAAATGTATATAATTATGTATATCGTTAAGTTTTCAATTGATTTTAATTCTCCACAATTTGAATCAGTCCAAAAAATGTTTCTTTGAAATATTAATAACTTATTTTAAAAAGACCAGGTTTCTCTAAAATTAGTTACTGTAGTCAGGATAACTTTTTAATAAATTTTGTACTTAGTTTCTTTATAAATGCGTTGTTGTTGTTTCTAATGCCACTTGTCAATGCCAGTGAGCCTACTTGGTGAAACCAAACGAATGTAAGGCAGAATGTAGGTTTCTTGTTTTCCAGGGGCACCATCTATGTTCACGAATACGACATCAACCACACGCAAGTCACAGCCCGTTATGAAGGGCAAACCCATTCACGCATCCACAGATCGTAATATTGACCTAAAACTGAGAACAAACAATCTCCAATTAAATACCCCTTGAAGTAAGATTTGTTATAGGAACTTGGAGGATTTTGTGACCAGACAGATTTAACGTGCACCTGTCACCATTTACTATACGAGATTGTCTTCGGTAGGCAGGGATCGAACTCACATTTTTCTTAGTTTGCTCTTGTATGAGTATTCGTATAAGTAATAAATTTTAGCAATGTTTTGTATCCTCTTATTAATTTCTTCCGAATCCGAAATATTATAATTATTATCATTGATTATTAAGCCATGGCAAGGGAAACTGGAAACTCTTTAAATTTATAACTATCTACCTTATCGTTCCATATATTTTGTTTTTGTACCTTAATAATTAGGCAGACTTGTACAGCAGTCCTTATGAGCTATCTTGAAAAAGGAATTAATAATAATCTTCTCCCATTTAAAATTGAAATGCCATTAATGAAAGCAGTTTTAGTGTTTAAAAAAAGGTCTCAAATCGAATTGAGAAATAATTTGCACTTGAATACATAAAATTGCATTCAAGTGCAAAAATGAACAGTAAAAAGGAAAATGCATCGCCTTGCTTAAGACCAGTATTGATATTGAATGCCTCAAAAATCGCATTTGGTGAGAGAACAGAAGCTTAAGATCCTTTTAGTCAGTCAACATAATTGGTATTTTTACTCATTAGTATTTACATTAATACTTAGCTCAGCTAATATCGATAACAACGATGTTCTACTAATTTTATCAAAGATGAAGGCCTTGCTAATAACATTTCCACGCAAAATTTCGAAAATTGTCTAACTGTGAAAGTTTGAAATTTTATGCTATTTTAAGTTTTTTTTTTCTGGATTTGAATCCCGGTCCTTTCCTTCTCTGTACTATCAGTCCTCACTGTGGGAGCGACGTTGGCCCACCTAATATGGTGCCCCTGAAAGAGAGGCCAACAAAATTGCCCTGTATATGCCTGAATTGATGGATGTTAACACAGGTAGGCATTGAAAAAAATTTTTTTTTTCTCATTTTGAGAGAAAAAAAGGATGAAAGTTGGGTAATAATAGTACTAATCTTGCATTTCATTATTTGTTTATCTCTTAAAACAAAAATTTTTATACTTCTTTGAACAAAAATTTTTTACAAGATATTTTCTGACCTAAGTCCATTTTTTTATAAGCATGATCCAAGTTATTTTTCTTTAGATTAAAACTTATAATGTTTTTCAATTCTCCTTATAAATTTCACATACTTTTGAATTATGTTAATATACAGATAAAAATTTCCTAAAATAATGTTTAAAGTAAGTTAAAAGTAAGTTGATTTACCTGAATGTCTGTTAAAAATATCACGAACTAGATGTAGCACCATCACTTTTCATTTGCTTTTTATTAATACTATTCTTTATTTGGTTTTTTTATTTCGTCTTCAGTAAGAAGAAACGTTTATGTAATCTTCGTTATAAATTAAAACGTCCTTCTTTCTGTCTTTCATCTGCATTAAATGTAAGAATTAATGATATTAATGTTGGAAAAAAAGAAAAAAAAACTATAGTTTTTTCTTACTGATAAAGCCTGACATTTACAGTTTCTTTTTGCCACGTGCATGTACAGCAGTGCGCTGCCCATTAATCAAAAATGCATCAAAAAAATTGTAAATTGTACTTGACATTCTTTGAACTACTAAGAATAGTATCTCTTAGAAATAAATAAGCAAAAAATTCCAAAAATTTATGTTTTTGTTGTCGGTACGCGAATCATTACCTAACAAAAAATTTCGTAATTATAAGAAATTCACGAATTGAAGCTATGCAGTTCAACGTATTTTTATTTTGCACTTTTTGGAACCGAAATATTTCTGCTGTAAAATATTAACAATAGTAACAATGAAGAAGTAAAAAAAACATTTTTTTTCTGCGGTATTCCTTTGAAAACAAATCATTTCAGAGTCAGTCACTTGCTTTAAACACGTAATCTCTAAACATATATAAATGTTGATGCTCAATACATTTTCCTTTTCTATCAATTTAGAAATGGAGAATAGATTAAATCGAGGAAGTAAAAAAATTTACTTTTTCTGTTTGAATGATTACAATTATATTTAATTACAGGATGATTAATAATAAATAAAAAAAACGATACGTTAAAATTATGGGTCGCTTATTCGGGAAATTTTTCGCTGCTGCCAAAGGGTTAGTTTAGGTTGACGTCAACTATATCAAAGCTAATGGGACTTGAAGAATCCTGTATGTTCTATGTTTATCGCTAATCGATAAAGAAAAATAAGTTGGTATTATCTAGATGAGAGAGCTAAATATTCACTCTCCAGCTAGCTGTTGGCCTACGAATATTTAAAGCTGGAGAGCAACAGAGCTTGTCTATAGAATAACAAAGTCTGAGAGTGTGACAAACACCTACTAGAAGAGAAAAGACCCCCCACGGTTTACCATTAACGAGAAATCCGATCCTCTAGTAGTCCGAAAGTAGTGACATCTTTCGCATTTTCCCCCACTGCAAAGTTTAATAACCTGAACTCTGTGACATCTTTCTTATTAACCCCACTGCGCAGTTTATGATCGTTACATTGGACATTTAAATTGACCCATCTTGTAGGTGTTGGTTAAACACCAGGGGGCTACAGATGATATTTCAGATATTATAATTTTCGTATACTTTGATGACTTTTAGTGACACGTGGTTGATATTTGTACCGTTAAGACCTCACGGGAACCTTATTTTAAACTAATATTCCAGTTACTTGGCAATAGTTGTTTTTCCATTTTTTAGTTTCAACATTATTTTATGGCAATGGACATCAAAGCGTTTTTAATATTTCAACAGTTAACAAAAGAAATGTAAGACTGGATACAACATTTAAAAATGAAAATTCAAGCCCAGATCGAGGTCATATTTTATCCTTGTTGAAAACGAAATCAAAATAATATACACATGAGGGGTGAAGATAAATTTTAAAAAAGTTAAAAAAAAAAAAAAAAAAAAAAAAAAAAAAAAAAAAAGAAGAAGAAAAAAAGAGTTTTATATTATTCGAATAGCCATAACGTAAGGCCTATTGAAGAGATCAGTATGAAACAGGGCTAAGTATGAAAGACCTTGAAACATGTTTCTTTGCTAGATGGAACGCGGTTGTGTTTTTGATAATCGCTTTTTAACTCCTTATCCTGTTTTTTTACGTTTTGATGTTTTCAGTCCAAATTTCTTCAGATTTTGATATAGTTTCAAATTCTTATTCTTTAGATTTTGATCGTGTTTTTACTTATTTTCATGCCTTTCAACATTTACTGCGTGCCGACCAGGTGACCTAGTGGTTAGCGGGTTTGACTACGGAGCCGATAGTTGCGGGTTCGAATCCCGCTCTGGATGTTTCTTACTCTCTCACCGTGTTCTATGTCCTTTCTTTTGTGTGAATGTAACCCGCCCTATAAACGGGTTTGTGGTTGTATGACGTGGGCGACGCAACTCCACCGCCATGGCTTAGCCATAGGTGCCCACTGGGTAGTGATAAAAAAGTGTAAGAGTAGCAATTCTGGCATTTCTAAGGCCAATGGGAAATAGACCCAAGTGCCCGCCATTATACAAGAAAAAAGAAGAAGAAAACCTTTACTGCGTTTAAATTTTATTATACATTTTTGAGAAGGATTTGGAGATCAAGGGAACTAATTAAGATAAAAGATGATACACATTTTGTTAAAATAAATGTTTGATCTAAAGCGTTTTATCAGATGAAAGCTATCCGTTAACCAAATCATGCAAGATGTGACTTATTTCTTTTTCTATGTAAACAAAATCCTTATAGAATGTGCAAGAATGATATTGAAAAAAGAAAAAAAATGAAAATTCTTCTTCTTCGGCACTACAGCCAGAGTCAGGCTATGACCGTCTCAATAAGTTTTCCCCATCTTGCCCTGTTAGTCCCCATTGTACTTCATCTACCAGCACCAATTACTTGGAGGTCTTTTTCAAAGCAGTCTAGCCACCTTGGAGGTTTGTCTGCCTTTCTAACGGTCTTTATCTGGTTTCGAAAAAGTCACTTTCTTGTTTGACTCGTTGCCATTCCTATCTGTTGAGGTATCCTAACCCTCTAATGCGATTAGCTTTAATGACATGGACGATATCTGGTTACTTAAAGAACTTCTTGTAAATCTCGAAATTGTAGAGAGTGCGCAACATGTTGTTTTCGTTTGCAACACCAAAAATCTTCTCATGATTTTCCCTTCAAACACCATCTATTTGTTCTCCTTCGATTTAGTGAGAACCCAACTCCTCACTCTTATATTTTTATACTGATTATAATACCATGTGTAATGAAAACTAACTTACGAAAATAATTAAAGTCGTAAAGATATTTTTCTCCTGCTGAAACAATCGATGAAAAAACACAATTTATTGTTTATAAAAATCTTTAGTACAATTTATGAGCAAGATCCACTGATTGAGCTGCTTGCGTTAATTAAAAATAGCTCTGCCGTTGCCTTCAATAATCAGAATGTTTCATAATTACTCTGATTGTTTAATATTTGAAACTGAGTATATGTTGAGTTTCTTAACGTTGCGCCGATTGAAGTAAAAAGTCATCATAAAATTCAAGATGGCGGCGGAAAAGGTCATTAGGAAAAAGTAGAAGAAAGTTTGATGAGGCCCTATTTTATCGAAACAAATTCCTGTCAAAATACATCCAAGGCCAGCTCCTGAAACGAATAAGTTTTTACGTTATTTAGAAATTGTTTTAGTAAAAAATATTTATCTATAAATGTTAACACTAATGGTAAATAAAATGACTATAATTGTAAGTGCCGCCGTTGTTTTGGGTGTTCAAATTAATGCTTCATTTTGTTTTGCTGTGCAAAAGCTATAAGACTTTAAAATTTGAAATGACGAAAGTATGTAGAAAAATGTACCTGGAATACAATAATAAAAAAAAATATTCGAGAATTATTCGTACTGAATGGGTCATTTTCAATTATAAACTTAACGTGAGTTTTTTTTTATTACTTTTCTCGCAATTCCAATTTTTTCGAAAGTTATTTTATTTTATAGCCGGCGTTGAACAACCGACACAATTTTTGAGTTTACGACTACCATTATTCAACTCTGTTGCCTTGTAATTTTGAGCCCAATCCAGAAGACAGGGGAACTTCTGGATCAAGTATTTTATTTTATTTTATAGTCGTCGTTGAACAGTCGACCCAATTTTTGGGTTTACGACTACTAATGTTCAACTCAGTAACTTTGTAATTTTGAACCCAATCCAGAAGACAAGGGAACTCCTAAATCGAGTATTGGGAGAAATTTTGCCTTCGTGGCGGACTTTTTGATGGAACTAACCCGCATTTGCGTTGCACGGAGAGGAAGACCACGAGAACCTCTCACGGTAAGCCTGACGACAAGGGCACTCTAACCAATGATCCATCTATCACTGAGGATATTTCACGTCAGCAATGTGGTCGGTGCAAGCCGGATGCAGAATTCGTATCGACTGGGACTCGAACCCGGGTCGCCTCATTGGAAGACGAGCTCTCTATCCCCTGAGCAACCACGGCTCAATTATTTAATACTCCAACAAGACTCTGTTCGGGTACATATAAATATGAAATCTATCTTATTGCATAAAGCACTAGATGGTGTATGTATACCCCTGAAATTTATTTTTTATGGTAGGCAACAAAATAACAGAAATATAAATTTCTGAGTGAAAATTTTGACAACGAAAAGCTGAAAGAAATCGTTCGACAAAAATGAAAGATTAAAAGCGAATAATTCATATCAAAAATCAAATATTTCAGTATTTTTTGTTTTAATTATGCTCATTAATTTATTAATTTTGCTTATTAATTTATCAATTTACTCTAATTCAATGATAATTTAGAGCTATATTTTAGTTTTAGTGATACTTCGCAATTACTGTAGAAAAGATATGCATTTAACATCTTTACTACTGAAGTATAAAAGAATATAGCAAAAAACATTTTGCAATTCCGAATTTCTATTCTATGGCCATAAGTCATAACAAGATGAACAAAGTATGGATTATATAGTCAGGAAGCCAATAATTTTAGTTCCATATACGTGGACCTCAAGGTTTCACCAAGTAACAAAATATAAATCAAAAATATAGCGTAGTAAGTAAAAAATATAACGTATAACATAACAAGTAAAAAATATAAATACAACGTTATTTTTCGAAAATCACTTCTGTTAGTGGGCATTTTTACTCAAATAACGTACATGTTGAGCATCGATTGCGGAATCCCCACAAACCTTAAAGGGCCACAGTACCCTTGCAAATTTTTTTTAAAATAAAGGTATAATCATTCATTTTGTGGATGATTTACATGCTTATTTAACTTTTAATCATTAATTTATCTTCAAAAAATAGTTAAACTGTTTTATTTTTCCTTAAATTTTTTTTAAAAAATTCAAAATTTTTAAATCTTTAAGGCTTTTTTATTTTAGCAAATTTTAAATTTTTTTTTCTTAGTGCTTATAATATTCATCTTACAATTTTGTGCATTCATTTGTTGATATATCAATTAGAACATTTTTTATAGATTATTTTGTAAATAAGCAGAAAAAAAAGTTAAAAATTTCTGTTAAGTATATACGAGGGTTGCTATTTATATTTCTGGCCTAATAATGAAAAAACAAATATGTAGGATCGAAATTGGTTTTATTGTTCTTCAAAATATTCTCCATGATGATCAATACACTTTTGCATGCGTTTGAACCAATTTTCAAAGCACTTTTTCCAGTCCGATTGAGGTAACTCCAAAACATGCGTTTTGAATGCATCAACCGCTTCTTCGGGGGTCGAAAATCGTTGTCCACGTAATTTATTTTTGATGTGTGGGAATAAGAAGAAGTCATTGGGTGCCAAATCAGGGCTGTACGGCGGATGACCCATCAGTTCGATCTTTCGCTCCGTCAGAAATGCCTTTGTTTGAGTCGATGTGTGAGAGCTCGCATTGTCATGATGAAGAATGATTCGCCTGTTCTTCTGCTTTTTTCGAATTTCTCCGATGACTTCTGGCAAACAAATGGTCGTGTACCATTCAGAATTGACCGTCCTGCGTTGCTCTAACGCCACTGTTGCCACATGACCGTTAATGCCGAAGAAACAGGCAATCATTTGTTTCGATGTGCTTCTTCCTCGAACAACTTTTGTTGGTTTTGCCCCAGACAAACATTTCTAAACAGTTGATTGCTGTTTTGTTTCCGGCTCATATGCATAGATCCATGATTCGTCACCTGTGTAGATGTTATGCGCAGCCTTTGATGTACCTTGAACGCATTTTTCCAACATTTCCTCGCACCAATCGACACGTTTGTCAGATTATGCGGGATCCAACGCGAACAAATTTTTTTTACGCTCAAATATATGCTCAAATGTCCAAAGACGCCTCTATCTCACGGTATGGCACATGACGATCTTGCTTTATCAGTTCACGCACAGCATCGATCTTTTCTGGCACAACAACGGATTTTGGACGACCTGCACGGGATTCGTCCTGGATCGAACATCGACCACGATTAAATTCGTTATGCCAATTTTTTACAGTGCTGTAGGATGGCGCTTTATCGCTGAATAAGGAATTAAGTTCATCGAAGCACTCTTGCCTTGACAATCCACGTCGAAAGTTATGAAAAATAATGGCATGAAAATGTTCACGATTCAATTCCATTTTTTGAAAGAGAAGAACTTTTCAATTTACTGTCAACAACACAAATGAAGCTATAATGGTAAATCGTCAGCTAAATTTATGTTTAAAAATATCAAACTTTCGATTAAAATCGTCGCCTAGCAACACTTACTTTTGCCAAGGCCAGAAATATAAATAGCAACTCTCTTATAACATGCTGTAAAAATTGTAATTCCTCATAAAATGCTTATTCCATGCACAGTTTAAATAAGTGTACTATACTTAAGATAAAAAAAAAAAGAGTTTACTTCAAAGCTATATCTTAAATAGAAAAATTTCCTTTGGGATTTAATTAAGATTAAAACACGAAATATTATCATCTATGAGAAAAAGAACTTTAAAGTCTAGTCTGCTAATCAAGTTTCTGTTTTAGGGCCTTCTAAAATTATTCATAACTTTCTTAAAATACTATAGACAGAGAGATAATTTTTTTTTCTTCCGTGCATTTTAAGTGCATTTCAGTGCATTTGAAGTTTTATTAAAAGCAATAAAAGACATTGATATTTTGGTGATTTTTTGTATACTGTGACCCCTTAAGCATCCCTAAGCAATGTTTCAGTGAAGGTATTCTAGTGAAGATAAAGCTATTGTTAAACTATATCCAGTGAAGGTAAAACTATAAATTTTCTTATAGCGTGTTTTTAGAAGCTAAGAAGCGAAAAGATGGTGGACAAAGGTAATGAAGAGGTTAATGTCAGAAAATCGAATAGCTTTCTTTATTTTCTATTTCTTTAGATTTTATTCATTTACTTGCTTCATTTACCCTTGGTTTTAATCATTTTACAAGTTTATTATAGAATAAAGATGTTATGAGTCTATTTTAGAACAAAAGTGTTATAAGTTTATGTAAGAATAAAAGTGTTACGAGTTTTTGTCAGAATAAAGGTGTTGTAAATTTATGTTAGAATAAAGACGCTATGAGTTTATGTTAGAATAAAAAAAAAAACCTGTTATTCCAACAAACACTGTAGGTCGTAATTTTGTATGAATAAAATCATTGTGTATAAATCAAATGAAACATTTATTAATCAAATGATATAAAGCGATCAGCATACATGGAATGCTGGGCTAAAATAAGCAAATATCCAATGAGAGAGCGAAGCAATTTGCAAGGAAGCAAAGAAGCAGTGCGAAATGAGCAAAAAGCAAGGAACTGCGAAAGTAATCTTAAAGATTAGCGAGTACAGCGAGCAAGAGTGGGTTCCCTACAAATTGCATATAAAATATAAATTCGTATGTATGCATATTTTTTACAAATCTAATGCAATTTCTGTTTGTGATAACAACAAAGAAAAAAAACTGGCATATCAAGAAAGTGAGCAGTCAAAAGCATTAAAAGGTAAACAACAACTAGTATGCTTTTAAATTTTTCGTCTAAGCTATTTCTATTTAGCTATGCTTCTTTAATTTCCGTAAATGAAGCCTTTTAGTCATGTTTTTTCTGCAAAGGATCGTATTTTCATTATTTAATTTAAATGTTGAATAAAGTTGATAATCATTGAAATTGTAATCAAATTGAAATCTAGCTTTTGCTTTATTTCTTTATTTTTCAATCTTTTACTTTAGGTTTTACACACTTTATTGGCATATANAGCCTTGTAATTTTGAACCCAATCCAGAAGACAAAGGAACTCCTGGATCGAGTACTGGGAGAAATTTGCCTTCGTGGAGGACTTTTTGTTGGAGCTAACCCGCATTTGCGTTACATGAAGAAGAAGACCACTAGAACTTCTCATGGTTAGTCTGACTCCAAGGGGACTCTTACCCATGATCCGTCTACCACTGAGGATAGAGGATATTTCACGTTAGTACTGTGGTCGGTGTAAATGTTATATTATGGTCTATTAAATAAAATGATAAATAGATTTAATGAATTTTTAGAAATTTTTTGACAATGAGAAATTTTTTTTTACAATGAGATGCAATACTAAATGCAATACCAAAGCTAACCAATGAATTACTGAATGAAATCTCAGACTCTCAAAGAACCTAACATTAACTATAAAAAAAGATTTAATTCTTGGGGATAGAATTTCAAAATTATGAAAAATACACAAAAAGCTAAAATTATTAAATATTTATATGTACCCTAATATAAAACAATTAATTAAAATACACATAATAGTATTACTAAATAGATATAACATTGAATACTTATAATACTATGAGATTTCACTTGACTACTACTCTGTCATAAATTTCGCCATACGTACCAAGATACATATACGTGGATCTGCATTTTCTTGACTTGCAAGAAAAAAAAAATTTTTTTTTTCAGAATAACTAAATTATATAATATTTATAACTACTTGTATTTTCGAGCATGTGAATTTGGAATCACATTTCCGAAATCACTTCTGTTTATATGCATTTTTACCCAAGTAACTTACATCGATTGCGAAATCTCCAGAAACCTTAAGCAACCACAAATGTATCAGTGAAGGTAAAACTATAAATTCTCTTATTGCGTGTGTTTAGAAGCTAAGAAGCGAAGTTGGTTGACCGAGGTAATGAAGAGATTAATCCCAGAAAATCGGATAACTATTCTTTATTTTCTATTTCCCACATTTACTCTTGGTTTTATTCATTTCACAAGTTTATTATAAAATAAAGATGGTATTAGTCTATTTTAGAACAAAAGTGTTATAAGTTTACGTACGAATAAAAGTGTTATGAGTTTTTGTCAGAATAAAGGTGTTATAAATTTATATTAGAATAAAGATGTTATGAGTTTATGTTAGAATAAAAGAAAAACCTGTTGTCTCAACAAACACTGTAGGTCATAATTATGTATAAATAAAATAATTGTATATAAAACAAATGAAACATTTATTAATCACATGAAATAAAATGATCCGCATACATAGAATGCTAGGCTAAAATAAACAAATATCCAATGAGAGAGCGAAACAATTTGCAAGGAAGCAAGAAACAGTGCGAAACGATCAAAAAGCAAGGAACTCCGAAAGTAATTTTGGAGATTGGCGAGCACAGCGAGCAGGGATGGATCCCATACAAATCACATATAAAATACAAATTCGTATGTATGCATATTTTTACAAATACAATGCAGTTTCTTTTTGTGATAGCAACAAAGAAATAAAAACTGATATATCAAGAAAGAGAACAGTCAAAAGCATGAAAAGGTAAACAACAACTAGTATGCTTTTCAATTTTTAGTCTGAGCTATTTTTATTTAGCTATGCTTCTTCAAATTTCCATAATTGAAGCTTTTTAGTCGTGTTTTTTTTCTGCAAATGATCTTATATTCATTATTTAATTTAAATGTTGAGTACAGTTGATAATCATTGAAATTCTAATTAAATTGAAATCTAGCTTTTGTTTTATTTCTTTATTTTTCAAACTTTTTCCTTGGTTTTCTCACACTTTATTAGCATATATANAAAACAAACATAAAATATACTGGGGACATGAAAATGACTGTTTTTGTGAGAATGACCCATATATTAAAACAAAGACAAGATCAATATTTTTCGCATTTTTAGAACTTTATGGTAAAATGACTTTCGTCAATAAAACAAAAGCTAAACATTAGAATTCATTAAGCCAGCAGAAAACGCTTTCTCCCTAGATTGTGTAATGCAAATAATTTGAACATAAAGTTTCGCTTCATGTTTTACGATGCTCTTCGATTCCTCCCATTTGCTCTTACATTTTTATATTAAACCAATGGAATATGTATTCATTAACAATATTTAAAAATATAACATCATTAACAATATTTATACATACCTAAGCCACCATGCGTCATAAAAAGAATTGATTGTGTTGTTGCTTCAGTTCCAGGTTTGGCACTCAATTTTCCATAGGATGCTATTGTAGGAAAAAGCGTTCCGTACGTAAAACCATGAGCTATCTCTGCTGGCAGAACAAGCCAAGGATTTTTTAAGTAACTGTACCATAAGAAACGCGAAGCATATGATAATAGAGAAAGGGAAATAAGATTAAAATGTCCCAATTTACGTATGAACCAATCTGCAAAGAACATGAACGGAATCTCGCCAAGAAAACATTGGATGTACTGTGTCAGCCCGCAGAGAAATTTGCTGGCACCTAAACCTGAAAGGAACCAAATCAAGTAAAACCAAACTACTCCTGCACCAATTCCATTGAAAAAGACTCCCAATTCGAAGGCCGTGAATTCTACAGACTTTAGTACGTGACCAATATCTTTTAAGAGACTCTGCGAAAAGTGAGGTTTAGCAAGATCCAATTGTGAAATGTTCCATACAGCAATAATTTGCAACACAGCCATAAATATCCAAGAAGCAAGAAATCCACCAGTTAAGTCGCATATTACTCCACTTAGCGCTGCCAATATACCCCATCCAACGGCACCAAATAATCTTTGTCTTCCAAATTCTCCTCCCAATCTCTGTACACTTTCACAGCAAGCTGTATCAGAAAGACTGAAAAGTGAGTTGACGCATATACCTGTAACTGTGTTCACAACTGCAAAGATCCAAAATTCTGAAGTTTCGAAGTCACTGATATCTGATTTTGTAGGCAAAAACGATGAATGTCCATTTTTAGTGAATGTCATCGTGCAAGAACAAGTATCATTCACAGGATAAGATGAATATGGCCCTAATACTATAAGAAGATTAAATGTCTTATTATATATTTCGCCAGAATCTGTAAAATTTTTTGGGTTGATAGCCGAACAGCTGAAATTTGATTTTGATCCAAACTCCAGTTGAGTTATCTTTTCATCAGTCGTTTGAAAGCAGAGCAACTCTGTTGTGTTTACGTATGGTACACACATTACATCAGTATATATTTTATTTTCAATGTTCCATTCGTTTTTATTCTTGTCTGAAATGTTTGAACTTGAGGAGTTGTTAGTTGGCAAATGTACTCTTATGCTGATCATTTCAGATACTTCATTCCAGTTTCTGAATTGCTGAACTGACGTTGGTTTCTTGAGGGGTGGAATTGAAAGAATAAGGAAAAAGAAGATGGTTTGAATTATAAGCAGTATGTTTATCATCAGTTTTAGTCTGTTGAAGTAATCAGCAATATAACCAATGACTGGTTTTGAGAGTATGGTTACAAATTGATGGGCTGCTACAACTACTGCTAAGGAAGTAGCAGAAAGACCAAGTCTGTTTTTTGCAACAACTGGAATGAAAGGTGTGACTGAGGCTGTGCCTAGAAAAATAAAATCATATAATTATTTAATAAAAAAAGTTGATTTATTTATTCTCTTACTTGCGAATGTATAGAATTTTCTTTAAATGATACTGCAAATGTATGAGAAAACAGAATAACTGATTTCCCATTTATCTTCTTTACCGAGTCATTTGCTTTATAATTATTTGTATAGGAAATTATTATTTAATCAAATTTAAATACAAAACTTCCTTTTAGCCACAGAATTCCATTGAATGGTTCTTGTTTAAAGTACATAAAGATATCTCTTAATAGCATTACCGGAAGTATGAAAGATAAAAACATAAAACTAGCTATGAAGCAAGCTTTAACAGAAGGTAAATGATACTCAAATTCATTTATGCTTCTACTTTACCTAAAACTAGTTAACAATCTGTTTAATTTAAGTAATTTAATAATCAAGAATTACTCTGGATTTATGTTACTAATACTAGTTTTTATATAAATGAAAGTCAAAATAAAATAGTACATTGAGATACTGTAGGAAAATGAGAAACTAAAGGGATAAAAAATCCCTCCAAAAAATACAATGCTTCGTAATTTTAACAATAATAACATTTAATAAATAATAACATAAATAATAACATTTAAATAAATATTCTTTTTCTGTTATCTTTTTGTGTGCTATCTGAATACCCGTTCTTCGTACGGGAAGTATAAAAAAGGAAATAATAAATAAAAAAAACTAGTACTGAACAACACTACAAAATCATGCACATAACTAAAAGGATCAACACAATTAATAAACCTAAATTAATTTTTTTATTTTTTTTATTTATCACTTGTAGCTCTTCCTGGTGACTTTATATTACTAAATTAAGCAAAACGCGTTTTTTTGCGATGTTTCAATTTTTACAATGTTCATTCTTTATGCTAGTTCTACTCCCTTTTACTACAATGTTTTGCTTTTTTTTTGAAAAAATAAACAAATTCTTTTTTCCACATAACTTATCGCCTAATTTGTTTCTAAAGTTCGACGCGTCTGTACACCTATGTCTTACATTCCACTTTTTTGTATCATGTTGCCACCGGATGCAACAAAAAGATGGCAATTGGTCCGTCTTTAATGTGCCCAGGATAAAAACACTCAAGTTTAAAAATTATTTTAATTGACCAACTTCATATGTTATGAAATGAAGAACTATAAGCCATTGAAATTGAATTAAGAATTGGTGTGTTACTTTTTCGTCTGTATACATCAAAGCCTCATAGGAAAATGTAAATAAAACTTGAAAATATCTGACTATTTTAAAACACTGTAAACTTTGAACACATTTCTGGGAGTGCTGGCAGGGGGTAGCCTAATAACAATTAGTTGTAACCAACAGACTATATTTTAATTCATCACTGTCGTTGAATAGCCGATTTTCGTGTTAAACTCTTTAGTTATAAGCACAAAACTTTGAACTTAACCTAGAAGACTAAGAAATTAAGCTTCGAGACATACTCGCCTCCTTGGTGAACATTTTACGTAGAAAGAAAATTCTTAAAAACATTCCACGGATATGATTGCTACTGACTTGTTAGTACTAGTCAAGAGCGCCGGCAGAATGATATAAAAGGGGGTGCAACCCTCTAACAAACTACTCCCCCCCCCCAACAAAAAAATTTTTTTCAAATATTTTTCTATTACATTTTGCTTTGTTATTACATATACTTTCATCTGTTAATTTTTTTTCAAGATGCATTTCTTCATTGTTAACAAGATATTTTTAAAAAAAAGTACGAATTTCTTGTACTTGCAAATTTTGCCACGAGAAACTAAATTGATTGCGCTGGCATTGAAACACAAATAACTACAAACAGTAGTTTCGTATACTAATGTGTTTGCACACACTTAACATTGGTATTTATTGTGTTGATGAAGTTTCACAGTTGTGAGAAGTCAGTTTGTGCTGTGCACCTTTGTTAAACAAAGTAACTAATAGAAAATATGATATTATTTATATTTTATTAAATGAAATTTTAAAATATAGCTTTATGTATCTGTCAAGTTTGTGGCATGCTCAGTGTGCATATGAAAATAATCAAAGATGACTCAGAATTCATTGAAAAAGTTATAAACAGATTTCAACAGCAAACAAGACGATTACAATTCTTGCTTGATTAAACAATTTTTTAATTGTTATGTATCAATAATTACTTAATTATTTGTTTTTTTGAATAAAAATATGCTTAATAAAAAAATTTATAGCAAATTTGTTTTTCTGTATCTCTAATTGTTAAAAAAAAAAGCCAGGGGGGTGCAAGTGCACCCTCTTGCACCCCGCTGCCGGCGCCCTTGGTACTAGTTATAATACACATTTAATGAAGCAAATAAGTGTATTCCAGTTTTGATTTCGTTATATGCCCGAGAAGAATTCTGGGATCATAGAGCAATGTATCTAAAATTTGTTTGTCCTTATTTTGAACTCTTCTTAAAATTGTTTCTTATTTCCGATTCTTATTTTCAATTGTGTAATGTTTGAAAAAGAAAACAAACTTACCGCCCTCGAACAGGAAATAATGAGCTTTGAATCTCAGCATTTCCTTATCTATGTGAAAAAATGACCTTGATTTTCGTTCAATTTCTTTTGGTGTTTTCACATTAACGTCCTCCATGATTATTGTGTATGTTTTCTTATCTGACCTTTTTTTCCCCTAAAAGTATCAAATAAAAGTATATTAAAGAATATAATTGCTGAACACTCTGCATGTAAGTTATACGGAATTTTTAGTTGATAACTATGGTGGTAAATTATCTCTCTATAAGGAAAAAAAATCTTAAGCTCCATCACCGCTGTTTCGAGTATTCAACTTAATATTACATTTTGCTGGACGTAAACTTTAAGAATTTAAAACTTAAAATCACGGAGGAAAATGCTTAAAGGTAGAGTAGAATAACTAAGTTGAATATTTGATGATTAGTTTAAGAATTATAAACTGTTAAACTTGAAAGAAAAAATACCAGACGAGATCTTCCTCAGGAGAACTATAGAGTTGAAATTTGACGTGTTGAAAGGGCCAAGCTGAACTCAAACGGTTTTTTTCCTGTGAAATACCAATTCGTAACATTTTGCCTCTTTTTTAAAAAAAAAATTTAAGAATTATATAGAATTAATTTCTTTTTAAGACTTTCAAATCATTTCTTATCGGTAGAACTGATACAATCTATTAATCAGCAGCAGAATATAAGGGTTATGTAAGTTTAATAAGAAAATATTCAAAACTGGAAGAGAAACAGTACTTTATTTAAGCTGTACTAGATCTACACAATGGGCTATTGGCTGCAGTCTCTGAATCATCCATGAGGATAATCTGAAGACATGCCATCACAATTTTGATCCCAGCACACTGACAGTGATTCTTGACTGTCTACTGGAAACCGTGTCTTTAGCAAAGATTATAGAAAGTGTGGAACCTTCAAGAAAAGCAATTTTTAAATTAATGGTTAAAAAAATATATATATAATTCCCCCTTTTGAATTTTTAAATATGTTGCTCGCAGGCCAGTCTTAAATAAATAGTTTTTAGTGAATGAAATTTTACATGGGTTGTCTCCTATTTACCAGGTTTGTTTTCTCTTTAACAGTTATGCCCACTATGATGCTTTTTAAGCTATTTTCATATTTTTTATAATATGCATTTCAAGCTATGTTCATATTCCTTAAATAAGTGTTTTGAGTAGTAAAACGCTATTTACGGCCGTTATGTCCATGTCTTTTCAAATAAACGTTTCAAGGTATGTCTATGTTTTTTAAACACGCATTTTGAGCAACACTAAAACCTCAATAAAGGATCGTTATGCATATATTTTAATTAAATACGCATTTCAAGGTATGACTACATTTCTTAAACACGCATTTTGAGCAACAGTAGAACCTCCTTTAAAGACTGCAATGTTTATGTTTTTTTCTCAACTACGCATTTCAAGCAATGTCCATATTTCTTAAACACTCATTTGAGGTTTAGTAAAACCTCTTTTAACTACCTCCTCTATAAAACAGCAATCTCAGAATAACGACCATATGTTTATGGTACCAAAAGATTTCCATAGGTTTCACATTACAAGAAACCTCTGGACAGCGATTTCTGAGCAACAGCCACTGGTTGCTGGCATGACTATTGCATTAGGGTGTATCTTAGTCAACTTTTACCAAATTTTCGTCTCTTGTACGCAATAATTTTAACTGATTTTTATTAAACATATTTTCCCCTATCTGTCATCATATTCAAGTCATTGTTAACAGTTTTTAACCAGTCCTGATGTAGAAAAGCAGGGGTTCTAGACACAGAATTGTGACGGGCTCCCTGATGGTTACTTTAAATCAAATTTACATGTTGTTGAATTATGAAATGGTTTTAAGTTATTTAAAACATAAATAAATTACGATATATTAGTAAATTTGAGCTTATACTGATTTATTTTTTGTACACTGATATTTCTAATAGACAATTCTGAAGGAAAAGCAAATAAAGAAATTTGTAACATTTAGGAGGTCCTTAGAAAATGTGGGGGCCCCAGGCCTTGGCCTTTCAAGGTTTATGATAAATCAGGCTCTGGGGTTCAGGCATTCTTATGCAGGTGACACACTGAGGAGGCAAGCAGTAAGTAAGAGACGTACGAGAGGCTGATTCCCATACTTTTGCATTAGTCTGCGCACATTACCTCTGCCCATCCGAAAACAAAAGTATAGGAATTCGCCGCCTATATGCCTTTTTTCTTACCTCTTGCTTCCACAGTGTGTGGCCTGTCTTATAATGCAATTGTTGATCATATATTTGACAGTTAAATTACATCGACTACAGATAAGCTACATTTTTTAAGGTTGGCCAGTAAGAATCACAAGAATCTTGTTCTATTGAAATTTTGAAGCATTTATACAGGAATCAATCCTGTTTTTGAGAATTCAATTCCACCTCTTACTGCAAATAGATTGCATCTTTCATGGATGGTCTGCAGGTATCACAGAAATCTTGTTCTGACATGCACTTTGAGCGGTAATTCAAGTTAAACAGTTCGTAGAAATTACCAGCACTCGCGAGAAAGATGCGTGTTAACCAGTGTTTGTTGAGAGATTTCATTTTTTTTCCTTAAGATTATATCAACTAGAATATTGAATGTTTCAATAAGAATGATCGAATTCTGAGTGATAGTCGTATACGAGAATAACTTACATTGAAGGAATGCAATCAATGTTATTAGGAAAATTAAAAAAATGAATCAGAGCGTGAAAATTAGTTTCATTATATGGCTGATTTTTTTCATAGTGTTTGTGATTCTTATATATTTTTGAACCACCAATTCACTTATAATTTTAAATAACAACCGTTTCCTAACATAATTGAAATAGAATATAAATATACGTAAAGCGTCACACAAATCAACTTGATTTGAAATGGCAATGGATTAGCTTTGTACTGTTGAACAAGTGTTACATGATGTATAGTAGTGATGTGTAATATTGACGAACTTCGAACAGGAAGTATAATTTGTATTATCTATATTTATCCCATTTATGTATGTATGCATGTATAATCTGAATCATCTCTGAACACCCCTACTTGGGTAATGTGTCCACTTACTAATTCTTACTTTCATTTCTAGACTACAAGGCTTACCACCTCAAGGATCCTAATTACATGATGAAAGGGTAAAGGACTACTTCGGTCTCAGACACCCTGTCAAAGCGATGTGACTGCGACTATCTTAACACCGGACACATAGACACAGTTCCGCAAGGGACCGTTGCTCGGAAGTACTGTATATATCATTTTTTTACCATTACTGTATATACCAATTTTTTTAGGATGCATTTTGTGAAAATAAATAAATTTATTATCATTAAAATTATAAGGTGTTTTTTATATCACTGTCGTTCAATGACAGAATTGAGTTTGTATGCAATTTATAAAAAAACTATTATTCAAAATTCACCAGTAATTTTTAAAAAATAAATAGATAAATGCATGCAATTAAAAAAATTAACTTTATTTTTTGTAAGAAAAATATCCACTGGAATTTAGGGATTGCACCAGTTCTTTCTAGTGAAACGCTTTCTTATTCTTAAGTTCACTTTCATTCATCTTGAACTGTCGAGTAATTGTTGTAAATTACAGATTACAGTGTCGTTTTACACAGATTTGAGAAATAGTAGATAATGTTGAGATGAGTTTTTATTTCATTTACATCGCTGTATCTGTAACTGGTGTAATCAAGTTTAACCTATACTGAAAGGCTTATGAATGAAGCACATAAAGAAAATTAGTGAAGAAACTAAAATGGTCTACCTTAAATAGTTTCTGATCTAGTGATCGGATCTTCACCTTCGAAGACTCGTGCAAACGATATTTAAAGTTACGAAATCAAACATGGAAACGTACTTTATGTGAAAATGTTGTCGGAAAAATATTTCTCGTAAATTTTTATTTTCCAAATATTGGTGGTAGCTTCAAACTGGGAAACATGGTCCTAATACTTTGGTCCGGAGAGCGCTCTAAAATTTGGATTTCCCTTAATGTTAATTTTACTTTATGCATATATAGCCGTATCTCGGGGATTTCTTAAGCGAATTGAGAAATTTTTAGACTAAATCGTACATTTCGTTTATTCAAAGATAATTCCATTCAAAAAATAAGTTTTAGCAAATATTTGCTATTTTTTATTATTCTATTTAATAATAGTCGAAAAACATTGAATTGTAAGGCAGACGATTTTTTATATCATTTTAAACAATGTAGTTTCGCATGGCAAACCGCAACATTTAAGCAGAATCGGTCAAATAGTTCCTGAGAAATCAATTTTTAAAAATACGACTTTTTTTAAATTCGGCTCTACGGTTCCATGATCTTCTTTTTCTTGAAGTGCAAGTACAATTGGGTACTTGCACTTCAAGAAGAAGATCATGGATACCCACGCATGTGACCTATGACATCAGTGCCAGCTGATCATTGTAAGCAAAATGGCGTGTTAAAGTTGAGCTAAGCTTCACCACATAATTTAAAATGCTAATTAATATGAAGTTAGTTAAATACAGTTCCATATCACACATCGAAATTTCTGAAATATAAATCCTTCTCGTCTACATCTTTTACTTAACTTAGATTTATTATGTGTTTACATATTTTATTGTAACCGTGATATATTTTTGTTTCATGTATATGGCAACATCGATGCATAATTTGTTTGCGTTCTACCTGTTTTTGTGTTAAGTAAAAATATATATACTTAAGGAATTGAAATATTTGTAAGAGAAGCATTGTGAAAGAATGTAGAATGTGTCGCTCAAGAAAATCGATACTTGACGGACTTGATTTAATGGAATGGAAAGAGCAGTTGTTAATGCACATGCCACGTTTCAACAACCAATCAGTATCGAGATATAGGCACACTACGTCACTTATCGAAATCCCATTGTCAAATTATCCAAACTAAATTCATTAACACTGGTGATATTATTGTAATCAGTATCTATCGTAATTGATAATATTCGGGGTATTATAATAACTGATCGATAATGCTTTGAACTTTGCTGCAGTTATTAATTTATCTTCATTGATATTTCCTCATGCGACTTCAGTCATTGACTCGGCAACTGCGATGTTATTTTTTCGAAAGGAATAAAGCAAACTTGCTTCCTCTTCTAACTACCTCAC